ATCCTGGGTGATATCAAACTCTTTTTACATGGTGGCAAAGCACAGTCCTGTCACGAAATGCATTACCGTAGAGGGGAGGGTGGAAAGCTGAGTATATTGTCTTTTATTCCAGGAAGGGTTCTATATGGCAAGGAACCCTGTGCTGACAAGATACCTTTTTAACCTCTTGGCGCCGGCCGCACGCAAATGAGTGGCCTCCCAGCGTCTGGGCCTTGTCGCCGAGCGGACGCATATTTGCATGCAATTAAGAAAAACATATGTGCTGAGAGCACGCACGCTCCCAGCACACATGTCTGGTACTCACGGAAAGGTCCTGATCTCTTTCAATTTGGGACCTTTCCTAATCATGTGACCTCTCTCTGTGACAGCGAATCACTTTGGTCACATGACCCTAAAACCCCACCCCGCCTCCCGGCTTCTGAAACCCTTAAAGGGCCAGGAGGCACCGGTGCGAAGGGGTTAAAGTGGTTGTAAACCCTTACACATCGTATACCCAGTGAAGTGACTAGTCTCAGGTGTTACACAGATGAAACAAATCCTCCTACCTGTTTATCTGCTGTCTTCTCTTTTCTACAGCTGTTCAAAGTTTAGACTTTATACAGCTTGTCTGAGCTTTCAGAAAGCAGGGGGTGGGGAGCTTAAGTTACAAACTGTATATTTCAGGGAGAGCAGATTGGGGAGGGAGGTATACGCCCCCCTTCATACAGCTAACAAGAACAGAGCTGAGGCTGTCAATCACAGGCTGTGTGCTGGAGCTCCCTCTCCTGTCACCTTTTAATCTTAGTGTCAGGAAAATGTCTCAGAAGTGACTCATGCAGCTAGCAGAGGAATGAGACAACAAAGAGAAATACTATTTAGTGCTCTTGACTGAGACAAGTACACACCTATAGAGGAATATGTTTCGTTAATACCTGTCTGAGGTTTATAACCATTATGCAAAAAAGAATGGAATGATTTTTTGTTGCAGCATCTGCTTTTTATTGAGTATGTATATAGCTAAACGGGGCTGAAATTTGAGCTGAGCATGCTGAATATCCCAGTGTGATCTCCTGGTATCGAAAAATCTTTTCTTTGGGGATTTATAAATGTTTGGTTCACTGAGTAGCCATCAGATAATTGGCTCAGCAGAGCGCACACTAAGCTATGATGGTATACTGTAAAGTCAGGAGTCTGAACAAAACATTGTAGAAGAAAATACATGCTCTGTTTATGTAGGACTTCCACTGACATTGTTGCAGTGATGGCAGCTTTCCTTGGAAAGTGAGAAACTGGGTGTCATAATAAAAGCAATCATGATTTGTTATGTCAGGTCTGGGAGCAGTGCTCTGGGGAGTTTGTGTTGCAATAATGGCATTGAGTTTCAAAGCAAGTGGGAAGAATCCTGACTTCTGTTCCTGTCATTAACCATCCCTTCTTTTTAAAATATGCTTCACATTGTGTTAAATAAAAAACAATCGGGGTTGTCCTTTATATTACAAGGTGAATTAAAATGTTTCTGCTAAAAAATCCAACTTCTTTCTAATGTAGAAAAACACATTAACATGCATGACATAAAATGAATTATCATTGTAAAAGCCCAACTCCAGGAATAAGTTTTTTTTGTTTAAAATGAAAATACAGCAACTGGTACGCAGGATCTTACTGGGCCCAAGTTCCTGCGTACAAAGTGCTCTCTACGCATGTAATGTTTGTTTGTTTTTTTTTGTTTACAAACAATTTTATTTTTCAAGAAATAGACTGTAAAGTAGCATTACAGCTTCAAACAGTATATAAAAACAAACAAGGCACAACTGAAATGTGCATGTCAGAAAGTACAATCACGTAAGGTAAAGAGAAAAAGAAGAAAAAACTTAAGTACATGAGCAATATAAATAGAAAAGTATACAGAATTATTCAGCTACTGACAGAGTAACTCAATCAATCCAAACATGGGTGTTTCTTAATCGTGTAGTAAATGCCTGAGTCTTCCAAATTTCCCATTTTCTATCAAATAAGTGCATTTTGTCCAGTAAAGTGTAATGAATTCTCTCCATGAGCATCACAGCATCAATCCTATGTAGAACAGAAGCCAATGGTACTGTGAGGGACTTCTAGTGTAGGGAAATAGCCCATAGGGTGGATATACAAATGGTATGGATTAGCCTCATAACCTCAGTCTGAACTCCCGAGATATGGGCTCCCAGTAGGCAGGACTGCACAGTCATATGCATCAGAGCCCCCACCATCGCAGAAGCCGCATGTAATGTTTTAAATGCATACTGCATTACCATGTAATTGACTCTCAAGGAAACTGTGTAGTGTCCTCCTTTGTTAGGACACCTAGCATCCTCCACTGATGGGATGCAAGTTCCTTTGCAAGGAAGCCACCTAACGTCTTCCATTGCTAGGACACCTAGCATTTTTCATTGATAGGGCGCAGGTGGCTTCCCGAGGAAGCCTCCTAGAATCCTCCATTGCTAGGACACTTAGTATCATCCACTGAGAGTACACAGGTGGCTCCCCAAGGAAGTCACCTAGCGTCCTTCGTTGCTAAGACACCCAGCATCCTTAATTGATAGGACGCAGGTGGCTTCCCAAGGAAACTTCTTGGGACCTCCATTGATAGGACACCTAGCATTCTCCATTGACAAGACACAGGTGGCTTCCCAAGGAAGCCTCCTAGCATTCTCCATTGCTGGGACACTTGGCATCCTCCACTGATTGGACACAAGTGCCTTCCCAAAGAAGCCACCTAACATTCTTCAGTGCTTGGTCACCTAGCATCCTTCATTGATAGGACGCAGGTGGCTTCCCAAAGAAGCCTCCTAGCATCCTCCATTGCTGAGACACCTAGCATCCTCCACTAATAGGATGCAAATGCCTTCCCAAGGAAGCCACCTAGCATTTTCCATTGCTCCATCGTCAGCAGCTTGTGTCGACTAGAGTCTTTTACCAGTGCTAGCATGCAGGCAGCTCTTGTACTCCACTAAAATCTATTTGTGCAAGCACAAATGTTTACATATGTACATTGTAAAATACAGTCCATACAGAGGACCTTTTAATACCAGTTTTGTTTAAATGTATCTGAATGCAGCACAAGTTTACTGATCTTTACAGAGCTGTGTGCATAAGCCCTTACGACTTCTTTCAGGTTTTTAATTTGGGGGATGCACATCACTTTTGTGTTCTGGTGACACCACCTGTCAAAGGGTGGAAAGACAAAGCTCCCCAGTGAGGACACAGACAGTAAAAAAAAAACAAAAAACTGTGCATTAAAAGTATTATTTTAGTATAGTAATTCTTACCAACATTTTGTTGCTTTGCAGCCTAAAATGAGACAGACACAGTTTTTTTTTTTTTTTGTTTATCCAGCTGTATTTACTCAATTTATGATATCCAAGTGAAAGATATGACAACATGTCAGAAAAAAATTCAAAAACAGAATCTCTGAGTTGGAAAAAGCATCACCCCCTCCTAAAAATGACTTGTAAACCCAATCAGGTGTAGCTATTCACCTTCCCAATAGCACACAAAGCCATTTGACTTTCAGCTGTGGTACTTTTGATTAGCTCAACATGAAAAGAGCTTTCCTGGAGTGCATCTGAAGTAAACAATCAACTATGGGTGGCAAGGCACTGTCAAAAATCTGATTTCCAGGATAAAGTTATGGGCAGGCTCAAAAAAATGGCTTTATCAATGCCTAGAAGCTCAGTGAAGTCTATTGTTAAGAAGTGGAAGATATTTAGTACAACATGACCCTGGATCAGGATGTCGCTCCAAACTGGATGAAAGAGCCAGGAGGAAACTGGACAGAGAGATTACCAAGAGGCCTACAGCATCTCTGAAGCAGTTGCAGGAATTTGTGACAACTGAGCTTTGCAGAATACTCCTTGAAGATTCTGAGGCCACATGGAAAAAGGTGTTATGGTCAGATGAGACTAAAATTGAACAATATGTCTGGTAGAAATCTAATACAGCTCACCATCCAAATAATACCATTCCCATAGTAAAGCATGGAGGTGGTAATATCCTGTTATGGGGGTTCCTCTGCAGCAGGGATTGGAGCACTTTTTAAGGATAGAAGGAAAAATAGATGGGGCAAAATACCATCAAATTCTTGAGGAAAAGCTGCTGCTCTCTGCTAGAAAGTTGTCAATGGGAAGAAGGTTTACCTCCCAACATGACAATGACCCAAAGCACACAGCAAAAATGACCACACAGTGGTTGGAGAAAAAGGGGGAATGTCCTTGCATGGCTTAGTTAGAGCCCAGAGTTAAACTCCTTTGAAAATCTGTGGAATGAATTGAAGACTACAGTCCACAAACAGCATCAAATTTAACAGTTCTGCAAAGAAGAGTTGTCAATTATTGCAAAGTCTAGATGTACAAAATTAATCGGGACATATCCCACCAGACTAAAGGCTGGATTTAACGCAAAAGGTGGTTCAACAATATCCTGATACAATGGGGTGATCCTTTTTCCAACTCAATAATTCTGTTTTTGTTTTTTTTTTTTTCTGGCATGTTGATGTTCTATCTTTCACTTGGATGTTCTAAGTTGCACTGAGCAAATACAGCTGGGTAAAACAAAAACTGTGTCTGTCTTTATTTCAGGCTGCAAAGCAACAAAATGTGCTTATTTTAAAGTGGGGTGATTCTTTTCTATATCCACTGTGTAACAATAACCTCCTGCTTTCATGTTCTTTGTGCTTTGATAGGTAGGTCCTGTGTAAAGCTTACTTTGTTTACATTCAGCTTGTTTGCAGCACACTAACTACATAGGGAGGAAAAGAAGAAGGCCTCTGTATTTTATATTTCCATAGCACATTTGATGTCTTCTATGGCAGTGGGATGTTTGCAGATTAAAAAAAAAACAAAAACATCCACACACTTTTGACCATTTAATATGTCCATTCTAGTTACTTGTACAACTCTTCTGTCTCAAGCTCTGCTAGTGCTTTCGGTTATATACATTTTAATATTATTCAGTTTAATAATATCTTTCACACTTTGTTTACCTAGTTTCAAAGAAACGCGACAAGATGACATCTGGCTTGTTGATGTAAGTATTTCCTCTACCAATCGGTAACCTTGTGTTTGTGTGTACCTTGTAGTCCTAAAAACAACGGCACTGTTATACCATAGTATGCATGTCTGGGTGCCTGCATGTCTGTTTATTGTTAGACGATGAAAAGTTAACAGAATAAAAATGTAAAGAAAAATGTTTAAGCCTCATGCACACTGGGCAGTTTTAAACACTGCTTCTAGAGAAGTGTGTGTGTTTTTTTTTTTTTTTTTCCTGCTTCTAAATGCCCCTCAGTGTTAGCCTGTGTGTCCATTCACACATAGGTGTTTACTGGCATTTAGAGACATAAAAACTCCACTGCCAGCATGTTGAGGAGCGACAGCGTTTTGGCAGTAAAAAAAAAAAACAAATTGAGCGGCTAAGCTCATTTAGACGCACTTAAGAGCTAAGTGGGTCAAGCACTTGGGCATTAATTTCAATGGCTAGAAAAAATTTACATGAAATGAAGGAATGTCAAGCGCTTGATGCTCTTAATTGTGTTTTTAAAAACGTGATTTTAGGCAGCCTTTTGATGCTGCTTTTTCTTCTGTCAGGAGAAAGGCATTTAAAAGAGCTGGGCAAATGCCCAGTGTGCATGAGTCCTTAGGAAGCAGTTTTCAGTTGCTTGCTGATCAGAATTTAGAACACACTGGAAAAGCATACTGCACATTGGAAGCTTTCCTAGACACAATCAGTTCTTATACTTAAAACCTAAAACAAACCTGACTTTAGCTGCTAGCTGCCTGACCACTGTACATGTATTTTTAGTGGGTGGCACAGCCAGGCTAGGAGAGGTACATGTAAAATAAGATATGCAGCGCTATCATTATAGCGCTGCATATCTTATTTTACATGATCTTATTTTACATGTTCTCATCTGGGTCCCAAGGTTACCTTTTATGCTAGCTGCTTTACTTCCACGTTCCCAGCGCTCTATTATCTACTTATACATTTAGGAGAGGTACATATTTCCACACACTTTCTGATGAAGTTATTTTATCCACAGTGTGACAGTGGGATTCTCATGTCACGTCTCAAAATCAACACTTTGATTACATGTATTGAACATATTATTGGTATGTGCACATGACCGCAAGTTGTCCATGCAGTGTACATTCAGAACTAATTCTCTCCATGAGTTACATGGACTGTGTACAGCCCACTTTCAGCAGGCTGTCAAATTCATTGGCAGGCTGAAATGCATAGTGTGCAGGAACGCATGTGCTGTGCATGCAAGTAACGCTTGGATATCTGTCAACTTAGGGGTTGTTTAAAGTGTTACTGAACCAGGACCCTGCATTCACTATATTTGGTCTCCCACAGTACACAGAACATGGAAATGCTATTATTTTAGTAAATATAAACTGCTAAATACCTTTTCTCATCAGCAGTATATAGCAGTCTTGTGACTTTTATCAGTGTCCAGCAGAGCACTGGTAAAAGCTTGTTGGGGGAGTTTTCATTCTTTCCCATTTGTTCTATGAGGCTGCATAACCTCTGACCCTCTGTCTGGACAGTGCTGATTGTCCTGTGCTGATCACATGCACTCTCCCCAGGAAAAAAAAAACACTATCTAGCTATACACACCAAACTGAACACGTGCATCTTGTCCTCAAGGCTCTGTCCTATCAGGAGATGGATTGGGGACAGTAGAAGAAGGGGAGGATCAGAGAAGATAGGATCAAGCATTCTTTTTACACAACACAGAGGATTAACCCCTTAGGTTCCACAGTTAGTATAACAAGCATGCTTTACTGCATATGCAGATTAATTTTACTGTTGTGGATTTAGTAACACTTTACCTCAATGGTAGTGCATAACAGTGAGTCCAGTCCACTTCATCAACTCTTTTCGGGGCTTTTTTTTGCCCACTTTTATTTAAAACCGCAAAGAAAAGTTCAACAAATGATGTCTGTTGCACACATAAGGGTTTCCAGCATCACTGTAATTTGCCCAACAACAACTTCAGCCTTGTGTCTCACTCTGTTTGGCAATCCTGGTGCTCGGACCTCCATGCTTTGGTCCTCCTGACCCTCAAATGCTCATCTCAGTGCTCTCTGCAAATCCTGGCCCAGACTTCCATTTTACACCGTGGCCTGGCCTCACCCTGACACACTGCATACAGGCAAAGCCTGCTTTAGCCTGGTATTGATTTTGCCAAGAATTACTCTTGAATGTGTGCTGCATGAGACCTAAAAGAAACCTGTGCTGGGAGAAATACACAAGCTGCCACTGTTTGAAAATGCTGGTTATCAGGCAGATCATCCTGACCCATTTTCTGTTGGGCTCATTTACACATTTATAGATGTGATGCCAACTATTCCTATTGGATAAATTACTGGACTTTTTTTCCCACCACACCATAATGCATACTCTCCATTGGGGCACTATTCACAATGGCGGTGCCTTCATATGCAGAAAAAATGTATGCCCGAGGGACAGGAAGGATCAGCAATCATGTGGCCACTGTGATTGGCTATCACAGTGGTCACTTGATCAGGAGCTGATCCCATTAGCTACCTATCTTCAGTGGGGACCGAGAACTGTCTTTTGACAGCTCAGTCTCTGTGCCGGGAGCATGCAGTGAGTGCACTCTCAGCACAGAAACATTGCCTGCCCAGTGACACATACTGTATGTGCGTCATGTGGGCATTAAAGCCTGCCCTTTTGGTTCAATCTTATTTTATTGAGAGTGCATACAAAGTACAGGTATAAAATTCAAAAAGAAGAGTACTGAAGAAACATATGTGGTTTCAAGCATTATTAAGCAAAACGGTATAGCATATTGTCTGATTTAGGCCCCTTTCACATCTCGCTTAGTGGGAGCTTGTGTTCCCACCAGCAATTTTGTGCGACAAGCTTTGCACAATTTTTAATTGCGCTTTTTTTTTCCCATGTTTGACACTCACAGCAAAATCTCAGTGTTTGGGGTGCTATTAAGAATGAATTGCACCCAAACACTCAATGCTCGTTTTGCCAAAATTTGGAATCACAGGCAGAATCGCAGTGATTCTGAGGGCGATTCCAAATCGCCAAGTTTAAATAGTGCCTAAGAAGCAACCAAATAGGAATGGGCATTGCAAGTTTAGGTAATCTATCTTTTGGCCAGTAAAACAAATTAATTAGTATGAACACTAGGACGATCAGATAGAGGGTATCCGTAATTACTGGTATACACTATATTGCCAAAAGTATTGGGACACCCCTCCAAATCATTGGATTCAGGTGTTCCAATCACCTCCATGGCCACAGGTGTATAAAATCAATTTGTGAAAGAATGGGTCGCTCTCAGGAGCTCAGTGAATTCAAGCCTGTTACCGTGATAGGTTGCCACCTGTGCAATAAATCTATCTGTGAAATTTCCTTGCTACAAAATATTCCATGGTCAACTGTTAGTAGTATTAAAAAAACAAAGTGGAAGCAACTGGGAACAACAGCAACTCGGCCACTAAGTGGTAGGCCACATGAAATGATAGAGCGGGGCATCCAATGCTGACGTGCACAGTGAGCTAAAGACCTCCAAACTTCGTGTGGCCTTCAGATTAACACAACAACCGTGCATAGTGAGCTTCATGGAATGGGTTTCCATTTCCGAGCAGCTGCATTCAAGCCTTACATCACCAAGTGCTATGCAAAGCATCGGATGGAGCGGTGTGAAACACGCCATCACTGGACACTGGACTGCACAAAGCAAGGTCCATAAAGACATGGATGAGCAACTTTGGAGTGGTGGAACTTGACTGGCCTGCACAGAGTCTTCACCTCAACCCAACAGAACACTTTTTGGAATGAATTAGAGCGGAAACTGCGAGCCAGGCCTTCTCTGTCCAACATCAGTGCCTGACCTCACAAATGCTCTCCTGGAAGAATGGTCAAACATTCCCATAGACACACTCCTAAACCTTGTGGACAGCCTTCCCAGAATAGTTGAAACTGTTATAGATGCAAAGAATGGGCAAATCAATATTGAACCCTACGGACTAAGACTGGGATGCCATTAAAGTTAATGTGCGTGGAAAGGCAGGCATCCCAATACTCTTGGCAATATAGTTTATGTACCCAGTGATGAAGGAAAAAAAAAGATATAAATTGTGATCAGAATATCTGAACAAAAAAAGAGAAGGGATATAAACCGTGAAGAGGAAAGGTGAAGGAAGAGGAAATATATATTTTTTAATTGGGTTTAGTAAAACATTTAATCCCAAATGCTCCCAAAAAGTAGGAAACTATTATTCTGCAGCAATAAAAGTGAAGAGTACTCTCCATTTTTTTTCAAGCATATCTTCCATTAGTACAACACATTTACTTTTACCAGTTGGTTATAGTACCTGTTTATGTGCGTCCTTCTTCACACTATGAAAGGCAAATGGAATACAGCCGAGTAAATTAGCAGTGATTGTGTACATCTAAAATATAGCTGAAATGTGCTGTGAAATTAAAAAAGACGTCTTGCAGGCGACATTGTGTTTTTATTGATTTTTGTAGATTTCATTCCCCAAGTTTTACACAAACAACTTGCAAAGATTGCAAATATGCCTTAAATCCTGTAATGAGTACGAACCAAAGGGATTGAGAAGAATGTAATATGTTCAGCTGCAGATTTCTTTACAATTTGTTGTTAAAACATTTATCTGGATTTTAAATCTAAGATTGATTAAACTTTTTTTGGAGAATTCCAGCTGTTGTTCATATAGATCCTGGTTTGATTGCTGCTATAATACATCAAAAAAAGTGCATGTGTTAGCAGAAATATAGGCTCAGGAAAATGAAACACAGTGGGGTGCTGATGGCATTTTTCTTACAAGAAAGGCTATTCTTCTGATTTTCTAACAAATATATAAGTAATGCGTTTAATAAAAATGTTTGTTTTCTAATGCAGCCTAATTCCATGCATGCATTTCATGGGAATAGATTACAAGACTTTACTTAATCGGACACAATGCCAAGCTGTCTTTTATCTTGGTCTTTGTGTATCTATTTTTGTCCATGTCATGAATACAATGCTCCGGTGTTGTATCTTGTTAAAGGGGGAAGAAAGAATATAAAAATTATGATTGGGAGACTGCTACTGCTGATTGCTCTGGCCATAGATGAGTAGACATTTTAGAAAAAAATGTTCTAAAAAGTCCTTACATTTTTCTAATAATTAGTGGGTCAAATCAACATTGGTTTTGGACCGCAGTGATGAGAAAATTAGAAGGAGCATGGAAAATGTTTCTCATTTCTCAAACAAATACATTTCTAACACTGTATGTGGTTTTCATTTGGTAATGTTTATACATTCCAAAATCAAATATTTAAAAGCAAACAAAATCTTTTGACCGATATTCAAATGTCCTGAGAATTTTCATACAAGTTTTTTCTAAGACTTTTCCTAAGAATTTTGAGATGAATATGGAAGTCCCTTCGCTGAGCCATTATATTTTTACAGCGGGACTCCTCTGATGCCAGAATACACTGATCCAATAGACTGCAAGCGCTTATTAAACAAAAATATACAGACAGTCCCAGTCGGGAGGCATTGATTACTTGATCAGCTCTTCCCAAATGGGAACAGCCATACATGGATCAAATTTCTGCCAGTACCAGCTGAAATGGCTGAATTTTGAACCATGCATGGCCATCTTAAGACTATGGATAGAGAAGGGTGTTTCAATAATGAAGATTCCCATAGATGGGCACTGGTCAGCCACACTTTTATTTAGCTTTGGTTGAATGTGGTATGGTTATGCACTCTGCTGGCTTCTCTGGCACTGGCTTAACCTCAGAAAACACTTGGCAATCTGTTAGAGAAAGCATTTGGACTAAACAGTTGTTTATTCAAACTTAGTTGGGCATGGAATGTCCACGCAGATCCCAAAGTTAGCAGAGCCGTTCTGTCGTGTCCTACTCTACTCAAAATGATTTAAATTAGACATTAGTCGCTTATGTTTCTTGGCATAGTGCTGGTTTCCTACACCAATCACCAGTTCACTCTGCCTTCCCTCAGGCCATAATACTGTTAGATGACCAGTCACGAGAAGAGAAAGGCTAGAGTAAGATGTTCCAGTCTGTGGTGAGTGCGCAAAAGAATAACGGTTTGGCTGCTGGCCTTACATGGAATGATCAACCAGCTGGTCAAGAACTCATTTCACAACCATACTCTCAAACAGTAGTTTGACACAACACAAAGTTAATTTAAGTTCATTTTCTATTAACATAATCATTCCTTTTCAAATAAAGTGTATTAAATAACTGCTGTTTATTGAAAGCCCATTTTATTCAGTGACTATATTGTTACATATAATGATAATGTTAGGATATGATCAGCCTGTTGGTTTTGACCTTGGATCTCGTACAGAGCATTCGTAGAAAATGTGTTATATTCTTAGCGGGCAAAACCACTTAAAATATTTTTTTGTTTTCAGATTTCCTATTCTTACTATATTATTATTTCAGGTATTATAGCATCAACAGTTCACGCAGTGTTTTACTAAATAAATGGAGACAGTTCAGTTAAAATACAGTGCAAGAGGACTAGCAGGGCCATGCTTTTGAGAATTTATAATCGATAAAATGGATGGGCAAGGAATAGAATATGTTAAAACTGTTTATGGATGAGTTGATGGAGACCATAAAACTTCTCCCAAAGTTTGAACAGAATAGGAGATAGCAGAACAGATGGGGTAGAGAGTTTGGGACGATTGGAGATGCTCTTCAAAAGTCTTGGAGGGGAGCATGGGAGTAGCTGACAAAGGTATACACTACCTTTTTACTCTAGTAGTATTCTGATAGTCGTCCAAAAAATCCTACTCTGGATTTTGATTGTCTCAGTCCCTTTAGCATAGTAGAAATCAGAATAAGAGCAATTGGTAAGATTTTTTTAATCTGAAGATATCAAAGTAGGACCTGGCAAAGACACCACCCTTGAATATCACATTGATTAAATAGCTCTTTCAGTGTGAATTTTGACTCCTGTAGAATGAGAAAAAATGCTTACTGCCCATGTGCACTTTAGCTGTGTGAGGTGATGTGCAGAGTTGTGTTGTCTATACTATGACTTGTTTATGGCATATCTTTTTTTTCTAGTTTTATGCTCCTTGGTGCGGTCACTGCAAGAAGCTTGAACCTGTCTGGAACGAAGTTGGCATTGAGATGAGGTCTAGCGGTTCCCCAGTGAGAGTTGGAAAGATGGATGCAACAGTTCATTCAAGTAGGTGCATTGTACATTATCTGGGTTAGGAACATAATGCATGGTATGGTGGTCCCATTCAAGACTAAAACGTAAAGATACACGGTATCAGATTTTATCTTGTAATTAAACCAAGGAACCTAAAAAACTATAGCTGTAACCTATGTTCTTGCTTTAGCTGAAAAAAAAAAAACAGTCTGGGAATAAAGTTATTAATGGTCTTTTTTTGCTACTTGGTTGAAAAGCCAAACCTTTATGTGCCATGTTTAGGTAAAGCGTTTAACCCAATACTGATGATCAGCTGTAGGGTTCTTTTTGAGCCACAGTGCAGTGTCCATGCCAGGGGAAATATGTTGTTTCGTGTCTATTTTACTTGTGTAGGTCCCTGACCTTGTGCAAATTATCCTGCTTTGAATGCTGTAGAGATAAGATAACTATCTTTCAGTGTGGAAATTACTGCTTAGACTCCGCTATACAATGTATGCAAATCTATTGAATCCATGCTAGGGGAAATAGGGCTTGAACAGAAGAAAAGAATCTTTAGTGACATAAGGTCCAGGTAACGGTGTACATAAGGTCCTTTTTAATGTTTATGAAAAGGAATGTGAAATTTGGACCATTCCACTATCTATATAAAGGGCCAAAGCATGTATTAAAAGATGTATAGACTCCAGAGAGAGAGATATATCATTCTACCCCTGTACAAATCATTAGTAATACCTCATCTGGAATATGCAGTTTTTAGTTGTGGGCACCAATTCACAAAAAAGAACAACGGGGAACTGGAGAGAAAGGCAAACAAACTGATAAGAGGCATGGAGGTGCTCACAGAGGACAAGGGGACACTCTTTAGGTCTGGAGGAAAAAGAGACTTAATCTTCAAATATGGAAAGGTTCCGTCACAGTAAGAGCTGTGAAAATGTGGAGTGGACTCCCTCAAGAGTTGGTTCTGGCCAGCTCAGTAGATTGCTTTAAAAAAGGACTTGATTTTTTTCTAGATACAGAGTATAACTGGATACTAACCTGTATAGGTAAAGTTGATCCAGGGATTATCCGATTGCCTCTCGGGGGATCAGGAAGGAATTTTTTCCCCTGCAGGAGCAAATTGGATTATGCTTTGCTGGGAGTTTATTTGCCTTCCTCTGGATCAATTTTGAGTAAACGATTATAACTTTTTTTTTTTTTCAATGTGTGAACTAGATGGACTTTTGTCTTTTTTCAGCCAGACTAACTATGTAACTATGTAAGGTGAATGAAGAGAGAGAAGAAGCACCAGTCTCTTTAGTCCTATCCTTTCACTTTCTGCCTTGGAGACACAACAGGAAGTGTGAGAAATCCTCCATTAATTGAAAATTACAGTTGTTACCAGGACAATTTTCCCCATTGTATGGTTTGTCTTCGCCTTCTGCTCTGGAGAAAACAACTTTTTTTAGGTATGGGCTTTAAACTCACTTTCACCTTAACCATACAGGGCAAAATGACAGTGTCTTTGTAAATGCCCCCCCCCACGTTACTAGTACTCTTGCCTCTGTTGCATCCAACACTGAAATCCAATATGTCGGCTGGTGTTACATGCTGTTCATGTGACAGTGCTCAATTGTAGTGATTGGCTGCTAGACCCAAGTGCTGTCACATGGGAGGAGGTCTAATGCTCCCCCATACCTGGAAGCAATGCAGAGTGTATGTAAAGTATTATAATCTGCTGATGGAGGCAGGAGTGGCGCGAGCGCATTGGTAAAATGGGTATCACTGATGTGGGGGCTTTTCAAAGGCAATGTCTCTTTGTGCTTAATGGGCAAGGTGACAGCCAAAGCTTTTTTGTCTATACTTCTCTTGTGGTTCACAGGAGTGCAGTTCGTTCTGTATCACCTAGGTGAGTATAATGTTTATTTTATATATTGCATACTTCTCTTTTAAAGGAATCTGAATTGAGAAATGGTGGGGGCTACCTGTTGTTGACCTCTCCTCCTGAAAATACCAGGTTCCTGGCGGTCTTGACAGTCCAGTGGTTTAGTCCTGTTTCATGTCATGCCCTGGAGCAAGAAAATCAGAACCTCTAATCTGCATAATTTCTTCTAGGTCATTTTCAATTGATGTATTGATGGCAGGGATAACCTGACATCTAGCATTTTCATGTAACAGTTGTCAATGCTGTTTCTGTATTTCTCTCTGTATAGGTTGCCTGTAATGAGAACTTGCTGTTATACCAAGTAATCTGTAGATTTTATGTAATCTCTCTGCATTGTCCCTATAGATAACTGCCATTCATTGTAAAGCTGTAAGCTTGCTGTAAATGTCACCATCTGCTTTTGTTTTTCTGCACATATTGTAAATTTTAAACTGTGAAAGGTAGTAAGGGCAAACTCTTGAAATGTAAACCAATCTGTCAGAAACACATCGCCATGTTTACTGTAGCCTATAATTAGCATACCCTTCATTTGCATTTAATATTGATTTGTTAAGTAAGAGCTGGTTAATGCTATAGATATTCACCAGCAATACTCTGTTATTTGAAGGACTAATGTTACAAGATTAGTCTTTACTACAAATGTTTAACTCTAATTTCTTTTAAAATATATTAAACATTTTGTTCAAAGGATGAGTATTGACTTCCTAAAACAGATTTTTAAAATATATTTTTAGTTCCATCATAAATCCCAGTCTATTTTTTATTTGTTATGACTGCACAGAGTGTTCGTGAAGCGTAAGTCGTGTAATCGCCATAAAAAAAAGGGCCATGAGCTTGCAGACTTCGGCCATGCTATTAAAGTACATGTTTACTTGTTCATCAGCATTTGGCCTACCTCCCAAAACTCCTGCCAGCTTAATAATTGTCTACCAGGACAACTTACTTTTATTATTTTGCACATGTTAAAATCTGCATTTTTTTTTTGCTAGAAATTATCCAATAGAATAAAATGGTGGTAGTTGCAATTTTGTTTTGTTACATGATATATGCACAGTTGAAATGCACATTTTCAGGAAACCATTCACTAAAATGAATTTTAGTGCAAATAAACACAATATAATACCCAATTTTTTGGTAAAAATTTAAAGATGGGCATCTGTCAAGTATATAAAATTGCGCACACACCCTGGAGTCGCAAAAAACTATGGTACCAAAAATTCTCCATAGGCGTAGCTTTAAACAATTTTACAGGTCATCAGTTTACTGTTTCAGAATGATTTCCTCCTTTACATCCCACCCCTGCTCCCATACACCCTCCCCGCCCCCCCCCCTCCACACTGCACAGGGGTCATACTTTCTTTTTTTTCCCTCTTTTATTTGCTAACTTTCTTTTAAGAAAAATTCTCGGCCCGTCCCCATCTTCCATCTTCTGTCATTTTCCTAGGCCTCCTTGCCCTTTCCCTCTTAGGATATTTGACGTTTATATCCCAGGAGGCATTGGGAGCAGTACACTCAATTCCATTCTTCAAAACAGGAGGAGGTGGGTCCAGCAGCGCATCATTGGAAGGCGGTGGCTGAAACCGGAAAAGCCTCCTAATTATGTCCCAGGAGAAGATGGCAGTGCGTTACCCGAGCGCTGACTGCAGAAAACAAGATCTTAGTGGGACAACGCTGGATCCACTGGGTGCGTAATTATCAGAACTGGGCAGAACACCACGTAAGCAGGGGGAAAAAAAAATCTAAAGTTCCTCTTTAAATTGGCATGATTAAGGACCTGATAAGCATGGTATACAATTTTAATATTTTATTGACATTGGTGCTCCTTAGCCTACCCACCCCCTTGTCCAGTTAAAGCACCCTTATTTGCCATAGAAGTGCTTCCATTGGACCAGATAGCAAGGACGGGCTTATCTCTAAACGGGATAGTGGGTCCCTGATAAAAAAAAAAAAAATGAAATGGTGAAGGAGTGCTCATAGGAGGTTTTCTTGGGTAAACAAGGTTGTTGCTCTTATGAAGTACTTTTTTTAAATAAAGTTTAAAACAACTGTCTGGGTCACTTTAGACTCTGATAAATAAGAGTATATTTTGTCCTGTACAATGAAATCTTCACCTTTTGTCAGCACACTGCACAGACAGCACACATTATTTCCCATCATGTGGGTTACCAGGTCGCACTGCTTAGTATTTATTTATTAGATTTTTTTTTACTTTTGCACTGCAAATAATTCTTCCAACATTATGGTCTTTACAGAAATAACATTGGAAACATTCAGAATGACAATCAAATGCAAGGTTGTGCTTAATAGTCAGACAGAATATAAATAGTCAATGCTACTAAGTCTGTCATTTACTTAGCTATAGTGATATAAATGTAACATTTCATCTAATGATAAGTTAACTTCTCTGCTCCTATTAAAGACCGAGCACTTGCGCTTCCTTTTTATTGTTCTCTGTAGAAAGCACTCTGGAACTTTTTGAGTCTTTATTTTTATTGCAATCTCTAAAATGCAGGTAGACCTTTTTTGAGTTTTTTTTCATGTACTCTCTAAAAAGTGCAGTGGACCTTTTTTGAGTATTTATTTTTATTGTACTCTGTAAAAAGCAGGTGGACCTTTTTTGAGTTTTTATTCTCTTAAAAAGAACAGTGAACCTTTTTGACTCATTATTTTGATTTTACTCTCCAAAAAGCGTAGTGGACCTTTTTGTAGATCACAAAGAGTTTTTAAATTTTCCTGTTTTAAACTTTAATGAGTCTCAGACCGAAGAGGAGAAATGTCATGATGTAAGAGTGACAGATGTTAGGTGAGGATAAATATTTCTTATGGGATTATTCTAGTCTATGGAATCCTGATATAACTATGAGAAGGATTAGCATTGCGGTAATGCATTGGGAAAAACGTCTGACTTATGAGCTGTGGGAGCTGCTATTATACGGCAGCTCCCACAGTGTTGACATAATAATTTCATGGGTTTTTTTTTAGTTCTTTCAACATCAGAGGTAAGTTTGACTACTTGCATAAAACCATGATTTATAATAGAACTCCAATTAGGATCAAAATATCTAGTAGACGAAAGGTGCCCACACACATTTAAATTTGATGTCTAGTTAAT